TTGGGTGGTCCACCTCCAGCCATGCGCGAATCGCAACCTCAGCCATCGCATTATCCTCCTCATTCTGGGCCACCCGTCTCTGGTCCTGGCTTCGCGACTGCAGTGCATGCTTCACCGCGAATGCACTCTGCAACTTCCAACTACCCGCCATTCCGTCGACCTCATACTCCCGATCATCAGCGACCTTACGAGCCCAGGAACTCACCGCCTGGGCACTACCCCACACCTGAAGTCCCACGCTACAGCACACCGTCTGCCTATTCAAGACACCCCTCGGGCTCTGCAGATCATGCAAGGGAACCTGGCAGGCTACCACCAGGACCTCCTCCACGGCCGAGCAGCCAGCCTAAGTATCCGGGAATGCCTCGACCGATGGAGATGGGACGACCGCCAGGACCAGAAGAGGCATACGGACGACGAGATGAGATGGGCCGACCTCCGCCTGGCATGGAATACAACCCCGAAAGAGTTGGATTGCGACCTAACCCGTACGAGGACCGGTATAGGGCAGAGCGCGAGCGAATGGGTGAGGCAGAGCAACGCGAACGCGAGAGAAGAGAACGCGCATACTCTGGCAGCGATTCAGGAAGGCACTCGATACATCCTGGCGACTATGGGCACCGCGAACCACCTCGGAATCCTCTACCGTATAGCCGACCGCCAGATCGTGACCCGAGGGACATCAGAGATCCCCGCGACCCTCGTGATCCCCAAAACCGCGATCCTAGAGACATGCGAGAACGGGATCCTAGAGATGCACAATGGGGTCGCCCAGGCCCTGACGCTAGCTACCGAGCACCCATGGATCATCAGCGACATCCCGATTATCCCCCAGGCGCGCCGTATCCGCCTCATGGCCACTCTTATCAAGGGCCCCCACCTGATCGATACGCGCCATCCTCACATCCGCCAGCTCAGAATATGCCACCTGGACCGGCACCATACGAGTCCCCAGATCGAGCGCGTATGAATTTAATTCCTACACAACAACCACAACACCCCCATCGACGGCCAGAGGAAGGGCCGCCACCACCAACAATTGCGTACAACGGAGCTCATGGCCCTGGGCCATATGACTCTCCACGACATAGGAATAGTGACGATGCCTCAGCCCCGAACGGACAGCGTAACTTGTTAGCCATCCAGGAGATGAATCGAAAGGGTAGAATCTCGCCACTCCCACAAGCTGTACAAGGCGCGCAACTACAGCAACCTGGACCAACTGGCGAGCCTGGGATCAAGAGCGAATTCGGCCGCATGTTTGCGGGTATTGGCAACGGAGTCATGGGCGTCTCAAGTCCCATCGCATCTACAGCCATGCCCTTCACGAATGCAAGTCTCGCTAAGCGCGAGGACTCGGAGAACATAACACCCGATTCAGGTACAGAGGCAGGAACCAAGACCACCAAAGGCAGAAGGAGAAAGCTGAAGGACGATGACGGAAAGGGCGATGATGACAGCTCAGGACGAGCGACTCCAGCAAACAGGGGGGCTAAGCGTCCCAAGACTCACCAGCATCACCATCATCATCAGTACGTTGGCTTGCCGTTTTCTCTTGATTTCGCTGACCGTAATAGTTATCCGCATCACCACCATCATCATCCAGCCGACTCCGCACCATTAACTGGTACTATGCCTTTCAAAAACTTCAAGACTGGTGCTCCTCCTGGCGAAAAAGGCCTACCTGTTCCTCATCACCATCACCCTCCTCGACCTGTACACACACACCAGCACCAGCCAACGAAACAAGCCGCGACGAACTCGACCCCGGTCATTCCCCCGAAATCGAAAACAATTATATCATCAAAGGCTGTGTTGGAATCTGTCTCAGACCGACCCAGGCACCATCTTGGAGACTTCATCTACGATCCGGGGCTGAAACCAGGGCGATTAGTGCCAAGTACCTCTACACATCGAGCTTTTGCTTCCAACCCGAAACCATTGCCATGGGATATGATTAAGAACAAGGAGAATTGTATCCTGACAGTCAAGGTTGCAAGGATTCATCTCTCTTCCATTGCAAGAGAAGAGATAACTTCACGAGGATATCTATGGGGTACTGACGTCTATACCGACGATTCTGATGTTGTTGCGGCGTGCATCCACAGTGGTTGGATCAAGGGAGAATGGGCCGAGGACGTTGACAACGCGGTTTTGGACATTGATCAAGGAGTCACCGATAAGCGACGTAAGAAGCCAGCGAACTCGACCGTCGACCTCGACTCCGAAGACCTCATCACGGCCCCTCCCCCCAGCGGCCCCATGCCGATCCCCGCGCACCGGGATCTGCACGTCAAAGTTCTGATCCTTCCTCGATTGGTCAAATACTATTCTTCTACGCGACATGGGATCTCTAGCCGAGAATTTGGTGGAGACTACGGCCATCGCCACTCGGTGCACGACGGCATCAGTTATATGATCAAGGCTATACGATGGGTTGAGAACGGTGCACAACCACAGGCTCGACTTCGGGGCAAAGCTCGACGTGAGCGCATGCGTAAAGCTATGCGAGAGGTGAAAGGAAGTCTCGGCAATATCAACGGCATTGATCTCGACAAAGACAAAGAGGGACAGCTAAGAGGAGGAATATCTGCCACATGGAGAAAAAAGGAGCCCGAGTCATCCGCATCGAAGAATAATGACACCGTAGCAGAAGGCGACAAGGGGAATCAGTCATCTGCAGACGACGAAGAAGGCAAAGAAAAGAGCGACGAAAAGGCCCAGGACGTGGATATGGACGATGCCGACGAAACTCCAGCCACAGAGGAGAAGACGGATCAATGACCTGGTCGTCACGATTTGTCACATGTTGATTAAAGGCGTTGGTTAGTGTCATTGCATTGCAGGGCAGAGAAACCAGGGTCTTGTAGCATTAGAATACCCCTCTTATGATAATAACAAGTTTAATCAGAAGGCGTTGGCCTTTTGAGTCTAAGTCGCCTCGTCTCGTTTTGATACAATTTTATACAGTTGCCACCACGTTGTGAACCCAATTCCCCTTTTATAGGTACAGCTTTCGATGACCTTTAGAAATCCGTGACCCGTCCATTGTAAGACCAATCGCCCTCTCCGCCCCATCTCAAGGGCTCGTTCTTTGGGCCTCCAACCTCTCCAGTCTTGGGATTCGTATCACCCTCAAACTCGGGCGGTGCACCACGGAACAAGCCAACATTCACATCATCCGTCTTTTCGGGTGTGGTCGTGTGACGGACCTGCGACGTAGCAGGCGTAGTGGCAGCGGATGATACTTCTTCGGGCTGGAAAGCCGATGACACGGAGGCTGCGCGCTGGAGACGCTCGAATTCGGCTTGTTGGTCGGCGGGGAGTTTTGGTGGTGAGGGGCGGGTCTGGAAGGTTGAGGAGAGGCGGGATGTGCGGAGGGGAGTTAGGAGGATGCGTCGGGGGAGAAGGCGTGACATATTTGCTTGTGTTTGTTTGTGAAGTGGTTTGGTTTGGTGGGATTGAGTTGGTATGGCTTGGATATTGAGAATGCGATGGATGGCGAATTGATAGTGGAAGTGACGCAGATGGGATCGGGGAAGAGACGGACCGAGGTTAGATTGACATGATTGATCGGTCATAAAGTGGAGAATGATCGGAATGAAGAGGTACGTATCTTTGAAGTGGTGATGGCTTCATTTACGATTTAGACGCCTTGATCGAACACCTGGAACAGCTCATATGATGAGAATGGTTTAATGCAAGTACTTCTAGAAACTTAAAATTCCGTTTCCATCAGGGCAATGTTAATTGACCCCCCCTTGAATCGAAAGACATTACGAGATCTTGGCCATCAACACATTCGCTTCTTTTCCTTACGACCTTGATAGACTTTACACTGCTGCAGTCACGAGTTTCGAAAGAGGCATCGACCAAGCCAAAAGCTGCCTTGACCTCTGACACATCGTCTCATGATGTCGGCCACTTCGGTCGCCCGATCGGGTGGCTTCAATGACACGTGGGATTAAGGCTGTTCCTGGAGCCTCAAGACAAGGGGTTCTGCAGACACAGAAGTAGCCGAGACGCTAAGATACTATCGACGGTGTCAATATGTAGATGTGGCGTTGTTAGTTTGATGTCTGATGAGCTCGGTCTAGGATATCGAAGTGATGTGGTATCTTTCTTCGATTGTTGTCTTGGTAGGGACCGCAGTGAGATCTTTGACTCATTTCATAGACATGCTTATTCGTGGAGGTGCTGGCTGTTGTGCCTTGTCGCGGTGGTGATGAAATGGCTTCACTCAAACCAGGCGAAGATGAAGTCATGATATACGAGCCACAACGACACAGGAAAGCTTTGAATATCCGTTGATTCCGTTGAAATAACCTTCTCGCTAGCTCCTAAACCGCCAAGTCTCTTGAATTGTATCATCCTTCATTAGTATCGCCTCAACACGCGTCTCTCATCAACCTCGTGCTCCATCCTAATCCTATCATTGGCTCATCAACATCTTGACCCCCAAAATCACGACAACATCTTTAACAAGTCTCGCTCGGTCCTCAATTCGATCAATTTCACCCCTTGCATCGCCCGTTTCTTCACCAGAAAAAGCCAAGATCGTATTTGACATCTCGCCTATCGAATCATAGCTTTGCAAGGACGCACACTTTTTGCGGGAGCGCGGATAGTTTAACCGTTGCTTTGGGTGTTTAAAGGGAGCTTGGGACCCACGATCATCCGTCGACTGCAGCTTGTGTATGCTTTGACCAGTGCTTATCGACCTTTGCTGATGGTTGTCTTGTTTGATCATGGATTGAGAACATCGCTGTCGTGGAGACAGCAGCTAAAGTCTTGATACTCTATTATTGTTTATTACCTGAATGAGATGGCGGTGCTTCATCAGTATGATTACATCTTTGCTCTTACTGTTATCTTTGCCTGCCTCGATGCCTGGAACATTGGTGAGTCTTTTGACTGTCTTGCTGAATAACGCTGACATTGTAGGCGCCAATGATGTCGCCAATTCGTTTGGCACGTCGGTCTCTTCAAGATCACTAACCATGAAGCAAGCAATGCTCGTAGCCGCAGTTTGCGAGTTCAGTGGCAGTGTATCAGTCGGGTCTCGAGTAGCAGATACCATCCGAACAAAGATCGTCGACCCTCATCACTACGACAGTTCACCTGGCGTTCTACTTCTAGTCATGATGTGCACTATCATGTCATCCTCGCTCTTCCTGACATTTGCGACTCGACAAGGATTACCCGTTTCGACAACACATTCACTTATCGGAGGACTCGTTGGAGCAGCTACGGCCTCGATAGGCATCACGAAGATCAATTGGGGATGGCATGGCGTGTCGCAGATCTTTGCGGCGTGGATCATTGCGCCGTTGATCGCGGGCTGTATGGGGTTCGTGCTGTTCATGTTTACCAAGAAGTTCATCTTGACGAAACAGACAGCTGTTAGGAGGGCATTCTACTCCATTCCGTTCTATACCTACCTGACAGTAGGTGCACTCACGATGCTTCTCGTCTGGAAAGGGATTCATACTATCAACTTGTCTACTCAAGATATCTTCATCTCAGTCTTTGCTACAGCTACCGGAATGACTCTCCTCCAGATCTTCTTTCTTCTCCCCTTTCTATGGACGAGAATCATGCACGAGGATTGGACTCTCAAATGGTATCATGTCTTTCAAGGACCACTTCTCCTCTGGCGATCACCACCTCCGCCGACTCCAGCTGGATTCACCAAGCCTCGCATCAGAGACTACTACCAGGGACATCTCACGCAGGAGGAACTCAACCATTTACGTACCTCGGAGACTCTTCTTCAATCGATTCAGACGCCGGACGGCCAGTTACCCGACCTGGATCGCGACGATGAATGGATTCTCCCACCGCCAGCTCAAACACCCCCCAAAACACCCCCAGACCGCTTTGAACCTCGTGCTTCATCAGAATTCATACCTCCCCGACCCGACGGCTCATGGAACAGTCCTAAAGTAATGGCATGGAAAGTGAACCGGGTACTACTCCGCGGACTGGAGAAGGACGTCGTGGCCATGCAGAAGCGGAACAACATTCTCAACTGGGACTTGGAAGACATGCACGCTCGATCAGCGCACTACGACAACCGTGCAGAGTACATGTATTCCGCTCTACAGATCCTCACCGCCGCAACAGCGTCTTTCGTCCACGGGGCAAACGACGTCAGCAACGCAGTCGCCCCGTTCACAACAGCATACCAAGTGTGGTCCAGCGGAGAAATCCCCGAATTCGTCGCCATACCGATCTGGATCCTCGTCGTAGGCGGCGCATGCATCGTGGTAGGGCTATTGACCTACGGCTACCACGTCATGCGGACGCTAGGCAATCGTTTGACACTCATCTCGCCAAGTCGTGGTTTCTGCATGGAGCTTGCGAGTGCCATCACTGTGCTCATGGCGACGAGGCTGTCTTTACCCGTGTCTACTACGCAGTGCATCACGGGAGCTACGGTGGGTGTTGGGCTGGCGAATGGGGATTGGAGATGCATTAATCCGAAGCTTGTGCTTTGGATTTACATGGGTTGGTTGATTACATTGCCTGTGACGGGAGTCATGTCGGGCTGTTTGATGGCGCTGATCATCAATGCGCCGAGGTGGGACGGGTGATTACATCAAAGTGTTTGTATTTCTGGGCTTAGCGAGAATACCTATTCTATATGCTTGTTTGCGCTCATGATAAAATGACTATATTTAGAAGTATATACTGGAAACCTTGAATGTTTGAGACTCAAGCAACTCGCTCGTGATGGCTTCAGCATTGTTTGCTCATGTCCGTGCTAACGGCTAGCTTCCTGCAACAACCCTCGCGCATGGCACCTATTCCGTTCCAACATCTCTTCAAGTTGATTCCACAATTTAAAAACATCAGACTCGTCAAGTTCCGGATCGTGATCGCCCACAGTGTCCCACTCCTCAACGGGTGCGATGTCGTGCTTCGCCAGTCCAACCACGAATCTCCTCATTTTGACATCCGACCCGTCTGAGTGATCGGCAAAAGGGTCCCCGATGCGTTTATGCACTGGAAGCGCTGTGGTCGTAAATTCAAGTAGTTGTTTGGGCTGTGTGTTGAGGAAGAGGTTGATGATGTTGATCCAGATTTGCTTGGCGGGGGCTATGCAGTTCCGCAGACTGATTCTCTCAAGTTTCTCTGTATGTTTGGAAAGAAAGATAACGAGCTGGCTCGATATCTGAGAGTACTCCAGCTCTAATGTTGTCAGACACGGTAGATCGATAGACAGGCATGCCCAGTTTATGGGTTCTATGAGTTGCTCATTTCCCATGACTGCATTTGCCTTCCCAGTGAGTCGCAAGACCTGAACATTATGCAGATTCTTCAGAAACATCTCTGGGAAGAGAGTTATGAACGCCTGGTGTGCTGAAGTCATCTTTCCATACATGTAGCTCCCGCCATGCCCCATGTGTCCAACACCAGCAAGTGTCATCTCGAACGACGTTAGGCTTCTGAGAAGATCTTTCCACGTTTGTGACTCGCATGCACGATATGTTTCTCGTCCAGTTGGCGGAAGACTATCGATCTCAAGTTGAGAAAAAGAACTGGCACTTTTGCTTAGCGCCAATAGACTCTCTTCGATGAGAACTCTCCAAGGTTCTGTATCGTGTTTTCCATGCCATAGATGAAATTCCCAACGGTTCAGAGATTGTGGTGACAGTGCCCATTCTGATAACTCCCAGTGACTCAGGTCAAATTTAAACTTTTCCAAGGACGGGAAAGAGTTGAGAGATTGTAGTGCTGTTCGAGTCTCATCACTGAGCTTGATATCGGGCTTGTGCCTCCTGTCCCGAGCTGGCCACGGATGATGAGGTCTGTATCGAATTTCACGAACAATATCCCTTCGAGGACCAGATGCGAGAGCCAACAAGGCACTTCCAGAGTCTGAAGATTCGTTTAATTCAATGGTAGAGTAGATTCGATGTTCAAATGTTGACATTAGACGATGAGATACGGCGCAAAGTTTTCGCAGATCTCCATGATCGACGTGATTAGCGATTTCGAGAAGAATCTCGGGCGTAACTCGATTGAGTGTCATTTTGACAGTGTGTTTTAGCGAAATACCATGGAGAAGATGAGCGAGAGATGAGAAGAGTCTTAAGTGAGTGAGAAGTCAAATAATAAGCTTAGGGTAAACTGTTATCAAAATCTGACGTTGGATCGTGGCTCTTGGCGTATGAGGCTTGAGATGTGATGACACTAAAAGATAAGAATCTCTCTGACGACGACACGAGTCATGCTGTGGGTGCCATCCGAAATGACATCAATAAAAATTTGTTGAGAATCTTTCTAGTAAAGCCAGCGCATTAAACTTGATATCTGTGATGAAGTAGTCTGAGTCGTGGACGAGTTGCTCATTTGCTGTTGAGCCCAAGCCTTATAGGCCGGATGTTCGTGTTGTTGGTCTCTGGACAGACTAAGGTACTTTGCCATCACAGAGTGGACTTTCATATCACAATCTTGTAAATTGGCTACTGACTACCTATTGCCCTAAAATAAATGGCACTTGTATGTGTGAAGGCATGTATTTGAACAAGATCACACTGTCTTACACTGGCCTCCGACTAACCTGTACCATTCAACAAGCCCGTAAGTGTGGCCTGGTTCAGCTAGCGGCTGCCTTTGCCATCACTGCTAGATATGGTCATCCCTATCAAGGGACAAAGCCAGTCTTTCTCATTATATAAATCCTGATTTATCAGATCCCTCCGTCTTCAACTTTATTTACCCAGTCTACATATTTTATTTTATTTTATTTTCTTTGCACAATTTACAGCTCAGATAACCTCGTCACACTAAGATGTGATGAGATGTGATTGGAGTGCAGATTATTGGGACCAGGGTGAACCAAACTGTCGGGTCACTCGAGTGCCATCATGCTCACCCATCACCAAGGTGAACGTCTATTGCAGCCTTCATTACCGAAACCGCAATCAATCCGCTGTGATTTCTAGATCAGGAAAACTCATAATAAATCAACTCGCCCGATTGTTGTCGTTCACAAATATCTAAGAACGATGTACGCCGAGTTCACGAGTTGAGTTCGGCATTACTTTAAGCCCAGCAATAATGACTTTTTACGGTGTTCACGATGACCAAACCAGGCTTCAGGTGTTTAATTTTAAGTTTTCAATGAAAATCTTAAAAAGAATAGATAAGATCACCGACTTGCAAGTCATCGCGTTGTCTCATTGTCATCGATAAAATTACAGTATTCACAAACTCCAGAAATTACCACTCAGAACCCATCGTCATATCTCATCTCTCATATCGCATTAACGCTTTAATAATGCCGACTGCAATCAAAGCACCCGTGGTCTGGATAAACGGCTTCCCAGGTACGGGCAAGAAAACCATCGCCGACGCTATGAAGCAACTCGACCCTAGCATCACGGTGCTAGACAACCACAAGTTGATCGATCCCGTAGATGCAGTACTCTCCAGAGACCACCTAGACTACAATGTCCGACGCAAACAGTTACGTCAGGCTATCTTACAAATATTCGTACGCCATACTTCCAGCCACGACCGTCTCGTCGTCTTCACAGGTACACCCCCCTTCATGCCATGATCTAGCTGATACTCACACTCCCTAGACTTTCAATCAGACAACGAGCTGGGTCAAAGTGTGGCACAAGAATACGCAAGTGCCGCGAGGCATGCAGACCGCCCATTTCTTCCCGTGTACTTGACTTGTGGTCTTGAGGCAAACATTGAACGGGTAGACAACGCGGAGAGGGTGGTGGGCAGCACGACAAAGTTAGTCGACCAGGAGCTTCTGCGAGACATGAGGAGGCGATGTGAGATGTTTAGGTTTCAAGGGTATCCGGGTTTGATGATTGATTCAACGGAGAAAACGGCATTGGAGAATGCCAAGAAGATTCTCGATACAGTGGAGGGATGGCGAGATGTAGAGTAACCACAAGGGATAACGCCGAGGGAATATCATGTGTTGGTACGGCTACGAATGACTTCCCCGACTCGAGAAAATTAATCAAACAATGGGAAAGACGTTTGGTATCGGGAGTGAGTCTAGACTCGGTACGCTCAGACACTTTGATGTTTGGTGGTCGGGGCGTGGATAGATATGCAGACTCCCGCACAGGGGAGGCCAACACCCGACGGATACATCACAAAAATGATGACGCAGCATCAAACAATGGTGTTATCTAATAGTATTCTGTGCAGTAAATTGGTGAATGCAGTCCTCGGTGGCATTGGGTCACACGTTTCTTCCCCGGGATTGGGAGGCTGGATGCCCTCCCGCCTGGATGTTGAGTATCATATTGGTGACGACAACCGCGGGATCCAACAGATATGACTTCACAGAAATCATTACGAAATCTCATTTTCTCCGGAGACAATCTGATCACGTGTGAGAGTACTGCTCCTCCCTATCTGAAATACTCATTCTCTCCCTCCATTTCCTTCTTCTCTTCCTTTCTCCAGAGTTCACCACTCCCCCTATCTGTCACTATGTCTTGCCCTCTCGTCACCTTGGTGCTTGCCCAAGTCTTCTTGGTTGAGTACAAAGTCCACCTCAAGTGCCGGCAGTACTGGCATCGAAGCACCATCCCCTTTCATGATATCTTCTCCTCCATCACCCCCTCACTCCCTTATGACTTGGAGTACCTGTTATCCCTCAATGTACGAGTGGACTCATGGTATCGTCAAATGCCCAAGTCTATCTCTGTACGGCATGATGTTCTTCCTGAGGAACCATGGCCTCCATGGTAGCCAAAGGCAAGACATCAGACACGAGGACAACGAGTATATTGCCCACTTTGTTAGTTTGTCTTCTTTACCTCTGTATTGGGGCCGAAGACTCTTCGAACATATCAACCTACTCACTCCTTTCCCATCGACTGGACACTACCGTTCTATCGCATGACGACCCCCCCTCTGATCTAGGTAGTCAGACTTTGTTTCCTGCCCCTTTACCAACTCCGCCTACATTCTCCCGATTGCCCAATTTTGTACTTCGTCAAACCAGTGGTCGGGATGATAACAATGACGGCTCGTCTGACTGGGTGTCCCTGACGAGACGTCCATATTGTCCGACTTCGAGTCTGAGCTGCGGCATCCATTTTGCATTTCCCCTGGCGTCCGTGCGATAGAACACCAACCATGACAGCTTTGTTGCTCCAGCCAACATGCAACAAGACGACCACCAGGGCAATCTTATTGCTCCTCCCAAGCATTATAGTCCAGCTGGACAGCATGACTCTGCCTCCGCACCAGAACACACCTTAGTACCAACCGCATGCACTGTGCCAATGGGAACTATCCTTATGCCCTGAACCATGCCCTCTCACATAGAATGATTCCATTCGATACTGTAATGCGAAGGCCAACTTCCCAGACACTTTGCGTCTACCAGCACGAAGCCGATGCTGTTATTTCTGGAACCAAAGTTGTGGCACGGCAAGTTGTGCCCCGACGAGCCAAGCTGCCGTTAAGGAACAGAAAGGTGTGTCTCGGCTTCGGTTACATCCTGACAGACAAGGACTTCAACCGGCCTGCATGAAGAGGAGGCCACTCAAGTCGCATCCGTCCGTCATCTTGGAGCGTTCCTCGACGGATTACTTCCCCCCCG